TCCCTGACCTCCACGCACTGTTGAGAAGGCGTGTCAGCCACGACAGCCCCACAACATCCAGAGCCTTCAGGTACTCCGGGCGGATCTCGTCCACCCCCAGGGCCTGGCCACCACGGAGCTCTTTAACCACCCTGGCCACCTCAGCCCCAGTGATGTGCAAGCCCCCCCCCCAGCACCCTTGGGCTCTGTGCCCTCAGATGTCTCAAAGGCAGTGTGCGTAGATGTATCTGAGGCAGGGTTGAGGAGATCCTCAAAGTATTCCTTCCACCTCCAGGTGATGTCCCCAGGTGAGGTCAACAGCACCCCCCCCACTATAAATAGTAGGAACCAGGAGCTGCTTCCCCCTCCTGATACTCCGGATGGTTTGCCAGAACCTTTTTGAGGCCGACCGAAAGTCACTTTCCATGGCCTCATCGAACTCCTCCCACGCCCGGGTTTTTGGTTCTGCGACCGCCCGAGCTGCGTTCCGCCTGGCCCGCCGGTACCCGTCAGCTGCCTCCGGAGACCCCCGGGCTAATAATTCCCGGTAAGCCTCCTTCTTCAGCTTCACGGCCCCCCTCACCTCTGGTGTCCACCATTGGGTACGGGGGTTACCGCCACGACAGGCACCGACCACCCTGCAGCCACAGCTCCGTACGGCCGCTTCCACAATGGAGGTTCCGGAACAGTGTCCATTCAGACTCAATGTCCCCAACCTCCCCCGGCATGCAGTTTGAATTCTGCCGGAGGCACGGGTTAAAGCTCTGGTGAACAGGAGCCTCTGCCAGACGTTCCCAGCAGACCCTCACTATGCGCTTGGGCCTACCAGGTCTGACCGGCTTCCTCCCCGCTACCTGAGCCAACTCATCACCAGGTGGTGATCAGTTGACAGCTCTGCCCCTCTCTTTACCCGAGTGTCCAAGACGGAAGGCCGCAGATCAGATGATACGATTATGAAATCGATCATCGACCTGTAGCCCCGGGCATGTTCGTAACATGTTCACTTATGGACACCCTTATGCTCGAACATGGTGTTCGTTATGGACAAACTATGCATTGCACAGACATCCAGTAATAGAACACCA